GAATTCTTCGAATAATTCATGGTTTGGCCCTGGTGATTATGTATTTGTCTTAAGTTTAATTTCCATTTAATTCACTGATTATCTCATTTGAACAGATCATTCATAGTCATCGACCTAAGAGGAGAAAGTAAAGGAACTAGAGAAAATTTCAAAAGGAAAAGGTGGGAAATCTTTTAAGAACCTAAATGACTGTTAGCCTCTGAAGGACTTTGCCCAGATGGAGTTATCTCTTGCAATATACTACCTGCACGCTTCTGTTCCGATTGTGTATGACGTATTCAATTGTAATATGCTTTAAGGCATTTTAAACTCCGTTCAGGTAGTGAATATTTGTGGATGCGCGATGAATTTTAATACTTCGAAGAACACAATGCTAGACGCTGAAGAGCCACTGGAAACATTTGGAGGCGTAAGTGTCTCTTTATCTTATCATGTCTTAACAATATTCTCCTGTTTATCTAGTGCATGTTATGAACGTGTGGAGCTTATTTAAGCTTAGGGATGAGTCCACCATTTTGTCTTAAATTTCACGTGTTCCACTGATCCTGCTCTGGAGAGCTGGTGTGAAGGAATGGTGGCTGTCGAGCCTGCGTTAAGTCAGTCGGAAAATTTGTTCGCTACGTCTCATCTTGCGTGTGCAAAAGTTGTAAGGAACAGTAAGTTCCGGGAAGGGGCAGTACTGTAATGGGGACACGGTAAGGTTGCTGGGAATGCGTTGTAAGGAAGAGTAAGTTCCGGGAAGGAGCAGTACTGTAATGGGGACACAGTAAGGTTGCTGGGAATGTGGTAAATGAAGTTGTAAGGAACAGTAAGTTCCGGGAAGGGGCAGTACTGTAATGGGGACACGGTAAGGTTGCTGGGAATGTGGTAAATGATGACCCGCGCCTCGCACACCCCCTTCCCGTCATATTTACCCCGTACTGTCGAGATTTACACATCTATAACTAACTGCTTGTCAGGTGGTGTCCTTATCAACATCGAGTGCAGACTGTGGGCTCCGAACATCGTCTACAACCGAGAGAAAGGCCAGGGGCTTGTGCGCTTTCAGTTGATGCTCAACTGAGACCCGTAACTTGGAGTTCTGTCTGCAGTAAGTGTGCAGGTGGCGGTGGCGGATCTTCTGTCAGAATAAATGCAAGGAGGAAAGCCAAAAGCACCGCCGATCACCCGGAACTAGTGAAGTGTTCGGGTGCATGTTCCATCTTTGTTCTTCAGGGTGACACAGCAAATCGTCAATGTGAGAATCAGATACTCAGATCTGTTTTAATGGCGAGTTTGGTACGAGAATGGTCTTATTGCCATTTTAATTAACAATTAAGATAACAGCAGGTAATTCATGCAATTTAGTGTTGAAACTTATCAGAGATTTTTATAAATGAGTAGATTGACATTCTTCTTCTTTCAAGCGATGGACATATGTTCTTAAACCATATAGAAAAACAAACTTTTTATATCTTAAGCCATGTCCTCATTTACATGAAAGTATTCATTTTTACTGCCTTTCTCCTGAAAAATGGATTGACAAGCCAGAATGTAACTTGGTTCTTCCTTCCGTAACACGCACAACTTTTTATAGCCAGTTATTTATTGCTTACAGCGTATAAGTGTACATATGTATAAGTTACGAGATACGATTTATGTATGTGATATCGAAACTGGACTCCTAACACCAGTTTTACAAACGCAACAGAAATATCACGGACGCAGGCCTACTTACGTTGGGGGTGAACGTGGGGACAAAGTTCCGCAACCTTACAGAGCCTTAGATTACAGTAATTAAAAAAATGCTGCATGTGTATAATAGTCATTAACCTGCATCGCACTCATTTTAAAAGGCTTCAGTACCGCTTGCTGGCTTGATTCAATTCTGGGCACGTAAATAAAGACACATCCTTACAAAAAAACATTTTGACAATCAGCAATTTGTATTTTGCCCACGGACTGTATTCATGTGTTTCATACGACTCGTCATCAGCTGATCTTTGTGACTAAGAAGTGCTGTTTTCTTTGAGGTAAAAACTTAATTTTTAAATATTATTAAGATGAGCTTTGTCTTTTAAAGGGTTAAAGTACTGACTATGAAATCTGTGAAATAAGAATTATACTCTTGCAAACAAAACAGAATAAGTTTAAAAACATCTGCGGTTAAGGACCTCCCCTCATTTTTCCTCAGCACTACATTTTGCCAACCCCTTCCCAAACTGTTCAGTGCGTCTTCCCACATTTCTTGTGATGAGAGATGGCCGGAGGACTGCCCTAAGACATATGTGACCTACAGAAGGTCCAAGTGATCTGAGAGATCTCGGCCCAAGAGAAGCTTGGTCGGTGTCTGTTTTGTTGTTTCATGCCGAGCAGATTAATATTGAATCGCTCAACGTTAGGATAATTTCCATAATGGCTACTAATGTGAAATGAGGTCCCCTCCCCCTCAGAAAAGAACATGTGCTCAAAAAACTGTGACTTTAAAACCGAATTGTTATCTGACATACTTTACCAAGGAACCCCGACGTTTGCCAACAGTCGGGGGGCCTCCAAAAGGCCACGGTCACTTCACCTGTGATGACCCTGCAAGGTTCATTTTAACTTATTTTGCAATCCGTCTTCATAGACTCCAAACGAGCACCCAACGGACAGTAGTATTATAAATATAGTTCACTATCATGGGGCATAGGGCGTCTGGAGTGAGTACTGGTCTCTTCGCCCGCTTATTAGGGACCAAACACCGATGCAACTTCCGCTTCTGGCGTGAACTACCTTCGGACACAATTCATTATTAAAGTCATTGCGAAAAAGGGACCCGTCTTCTGGCAGTCTTTCAGGTATTGCGCAGCCGTCCGAGCAACAAATTTGTTAGCCACTTACAGCTAATGGTGGCCATTATGAACACCTACACGAGATTATCTGATTCAGTGTGTGCCAACGTTGACGTATGCAATGCTTTAGTATACTATAATGTCTTTATTTCTTACAATGGATGTGTGCACATCTTTTTGAAGCAGTTAGTTTATACGTTGTCTGATACAACTACGAATAATCAAAACAAAACTAAGATACATATATGAAATATTACAAACAGTGTGCTTTTTAAGTTATTATTTTGGGCATATTGGCCACTCCGTACTTATATCGAACGGATGCATGAAATAGATGCGATATATTGTTTTATGTAATGTCATTAATAATTTGGAGTTACAATATGTGTGCTGTCATTAAAATTAACGTCCAGGAGACAACAGGTCTCCTTACTTGTTAAATACAGAAAAGCACGATGAAGTTCAGTGCTCCGGAGATAGCAAACGCATACGAATGAAGTTACGGACTGTGGTATGTGGTATATACTCTCTGATAATGGTCGCTGCCTCGGAGACATCAGGCATATTAAATTAAAAATTAAATCCGTGGCGTAACAGCTCCAGAGAGCCAAAGCCGACTAGCTTGACTGCTGGCCTCACGTTCACATGCCTAAGCAGAGGTGAACGATCATCAGGCATATACAGAGTTAAACGAAATTCGTACAGAAGATCTCCATTGTGTAACACTCTTTTTCATAAATGTTATACAACTTGTGGCCTGAGATGCGATATACTCTCAACTTTCTGTGCTGTAATAGTCGAGCTGATATTGCTGGTATGACGAACAATTGAATCTATACCACTGTTCTCGGCGTCCACATTTGTTTCCAGACTGTTTTACGCGTTACGGTGTGCTCGGCGTTAACAACAACCACCTCTGGGAGTGGGATAATCCTCATACCATTTGCGAAAGTGGGTATCAAGTCCGTTTTAAAGTCAGCGTTTGGGCTGGTATCGTTTGGTAAATTGTCTCGGTCCCATGTCTGCTACCTGACAGGTTGACTGTGCATAACGTTTTCTTCAGAAATATGATAATATAATATTAATGCAACACAGGCTGTGGCAACTACAAAAGTCAGCAGTGACAACATGATTTGAAATTTTCACGGCGGTGAGTTCAAAAATGGCTGTCTTCAGGATTGTAGCGCCATGTGGTCAGGTACTTTATGGTTTCAGAGATCCTTGCAGTCTCGATAATTAGTAGCACTATAACGAAGAACACAGCCAATGATATTTTAAATATTTTATATTTTATTATCTTATTAAAAATTGTGATTTGACGGAAACTATTAAAATATTAACCTAATTCACAATATGACGCAAATATACTACCTTATGTTTCGTAATATTAACAGCAAGCATATAACTTATCAAGTATACCCTTGGAACGTGATTATACCATAAGTTTCGTGACATTATCTCTGCATCTATTTCTATTTATTTATTTATTTATTTAGTGTTCTGTCTGAAGACAGGTCCATATGAACAGGATCCTTCCATCCTTTTCTCGGACTGGGACCTGTTCATATACGTTCTTGGCAGATGATCCAGAAGTGGTTTGCCATTGCCTTCTTCTGGGTGTGAATGGAGTAATTGTGGGGATGCCACGGAGGAAAACTCCGTGTTGCCTAGACCACGGACTTGCCCAACACAAGTTATTTGTTTGTTTGCTTGCTTGTTCTGTCTGACGACAGGTCCATATGAACAGGATCCTTCCATCCTTTTTCTCGGACTGGGACCTGTTCATATACGTTCTTGGCAGATGATCCAGAAGTGGTTTGCCATTGCCTTCTTCTGTGTGTGAATGGAGTAATTGTTGGGATGCCACGGAGTAAAACTCCGTGTTGCCTAGACCACGGCCTTGCCCAACACAAGTTATAAATTCGGGCACCGCTGGGAATCGAACCCGAGACTCCAGGATTACAAGGCCAGCGTTCTAACCGCTAGACCACCGTGGCGGTCCATCTATTTCTATAACACTTAAAATACTCTTAGAATTTCGATGGGATTGTTCAGGAATAGCAGGTGCTCCTGATTTTAAATGTTACAAATAAATCTTATCTTCAACACGGCAATATTGGTAATGTTATTGTTCGGGATAAATACCGGTCTTACACAGCGATCGACAACGTACTGCCATCTTCCATGAACATCAGCAGTTTCTAGGTACGTGGCGTCATCTGGCAGACGCTTTAGATTCTGTTTGCTTTTATTTGTGTGGACTGGTTTAGATCATAGATGTACAAAGGTTTTGACGGTCGTTACAGTCTTGACATTCCCACTGACAAATGGCAATCTTTGCTGAACTGAGGTAGAAATCAGTAATGTGTATGCATTTTGTTTTCATGCTATGGAAGTATGGGAAGTATGCTGCTGTATTAATTTGTATTTCATTATTACTTCAGAGAGCCAACTAGTAATTAATCGTTTAAAACGTTTCAATGTTATACTGAGAGGTTTCATGAGCTAAGTGCGTAATGTTTGCTGCACTGTAACGAAGGAACTAGTGGTAGTGGTGATGTAGGGCAGAAAGTATTTATTTTAATTTGACGACGAACAAACAACCAGTTTTAGTTTTATAATGGCTCACGGATCTGGAGTGTTGTCGTCTGATATCAGCAGAAGAAATCCACAAGATGAATATGAACTAATTCAGCGAATAGGAAGTGGGACGTATGGTGATGTTTACAAGGTTCGTATTGTCAAAATCAACTGACGTAGAGTTTGGCGTGGTTTGAATGACAGTTATTGAATTACAGACTAAAATGTTTATAGTATTTTTATATTTCCGGTCATTTGTATATTGTCAATATTCTGTGCGTAAATGATGTCTAGTACGTCCAAACGTGTTCTCAACGGTTTTTGTTAGCGTAGTTGGTGTAGTACTTGACGCATTTATTGCAGACTTGCAGTGTCATCCGTTAAGAAGAGACGTATTTTGCATATTTATGCACACGGCATTTTATATTCGAACCTATCGTGATTTATGGATTTGTAATTTATGGAAATATTAATTAATCTCCAAGCTACATTGCAAACATTTTATGCTGTTTTCTCTGATTACACTTTTGTTACTGTTTTGCATATGTGTGACATTTATTATACAGAGTTCATTACGTGGAATAGGCAACTGCACTGTGGTGAGAGTGTAGTTTGTAGTCAGCTTTCACATTATGAATTCATTTAACTCTGTAACATGGGCGTATTTGAACATTCATTTGTCCCTCATACTTTTGAGTGGTCACATCTCAGTAACAGTCTGTCAAAAATGAATGTGTTGTGTGAACCCGTCTCAAATGTAGCTGCAATTCTAGTTCAAATAAAAAGAGTTCTATTTAAAAAATAATAAGGTAACCTTAATAACTTCATATCGACGATTGATATTTTATTTCTGAATATATACTTCATGAGACACTACATTTTATTTGAAACTATTTTTGTATAAGTTAAAATGAGAGAATTAATTGAGGTCACAAAGTTGGGTGGGATACCTGTATAAGGATGCTTTCTGAACAGTGCAGATTTTATAGCATTTGATAGGAGGATGAGTATGAATTATGAATTGGAAAGGATATAATTGGTAGTTCTCTGTTGTGAGCAAATCATGGAACAGAGTTCTTTAAGTATAGAAATTACATCACACAGATGTTTAATTATTTGGGTCTTACTGTAGGATTTATTTAAAAACATTTCAAATAGCATAACTGCCAGTCACAGTGGCTGCGTGTTCTGAGGCATGGGTCTCATGTGCTTGGACACTGACTGTGGGTTTGAATCCCACTGAAGGCATGGATACTTGTCTGTATCTTTCTTTGCTGTGCTATCCTGTGTACAGGTAGAGGCCTTGCGATGGGCTGATCACTTGTCCAAGGAGTCCTACCAAATGATCTTTGAAAGGAGGCACTTATGCTTCATGAGGAGTGAAAAGGATATATAAAAACAGCATAACTAGTTTCATGAAAATACGGAATTTACTGAAATATTGCTAATGTTGCTCCTGTTTATCTCTAGTGTCTGACATGTGTTATCAGTAGTTGATTGCGTATGTCAGTATCCATTTTGATGATCTGCAATACTTTATTTTATGTATTAAGTTAAACTTGAGTAAAGATTGTTGGATAAAAGTAAATGTATTTGATAACAGTGATATTGCTTGATGATTGCCTCATTCAGTTCTTTTGCCCTTCCTTTAAGTAGGTACAGTAGTAGAGTCCTACTGCTGTGGTAGTTTTTATTTATTCCAAGTAGAGTGAACTCCATTCTAAATAGCCAAGAGCGTTTTCAAATTAATTCTGCTATACACAGTATCCACACGGGGAATAATTATCAGCTTCATAGAGCAACTGCTAATCTCTCATGTTTTCAGAAGAGCACATATTATGCAGGCATCAGAATTTGTTGATCGTCTGCCATCTAGTCTCACAAGTCTTATGAATAAATAAAGTCACAACATAAAGTGGCATATAAAAGATATTTAATTACATGATCCTTTTGCTCTGTTCATGAATTTCTAATGTGTACAAATAACTAATAATGTTTATGAAGGTTTTCTTCTCTTTATATACTGTAAATGAATATGTAGGTAATGTGTGGATTTGTTTGTAACACCTTTTATAATAGTTTGAATTGTATTTGTATCTGTATTGGATTATTATAACTTATTCCACATACTGTTGTCATCTGACTAATGCATGGATCCATGGAATGAAATTTGTGTGTAATTAATAAGATTATGCATCTCAAAATGTAATGAATTGCCTCCATCTTGGATAATTTTGCTGGAATGTGATCAGTATATGGTAAAGAAGTGAAGAGGGGCATGTTGATGGGGAGGAGAAAGTTTTAGTGACCACATGGTTAGGAAAGCAGGTGACGAAAAAGGCTTTTTGACTGCCACATGGTCGGGGAGTCTCACTAGTTGTTTAGAGAAGGATGTGATTGGGTAATGGCTAGGGGGAAAAGAGGTGGAGCCATACTTTGAATAATCTATATCCAGCTTCATGATTGATGTTGTGGGATGTTTAGTTATTTCATTTGCTTCCCTGATGATGTGGTTAGTCCTGATATTGGAATGCATTAGAAACGGCTGACTGGAGAACCATTGGTCAGTTAGTGGCAGACTGACGTTCAGCAGCAGTCACATTTATTACCTGGTCTCTGTCTTCGTACCCTTGAGAGCAAACTCATATGAAAGTGCAAGTTGAAGTTCAGTTTGTAGGATTTGAGATTTCACGGTGAGTCTGAAGACGTCCGTCATCTGGGTTGTTGCACCGTGCAGTCTGGTAGAAGTTTACCGACGTTTCAGAGGTCCTTGCTGCCTTCATCCCCTGATGATGGAGGCAGCAAGGACCTCTGAAATGTCGGTGAACTTCTATGAAACTACATGGCGCACCAACCCGGAAGACGGCCATCCTCTTTAAATTCAGTTTTCTTTCTTACTTTGAGCTGGATCACATAGCCATAATAAAATAGTTTTATGTGAGTAAAATGTTTTCTGTATGCCTTGAGCGAATAATGGGTGATGGAGGTAAAGCGTCATGTGTTCTTAACCTTGATTCTGGACAGAGGTTGAGTGGTCAGTTTTTACATTTTAGTTGTTTTAACCCTGGGGAAAGGGCCCCTGGTACACACTGGGTTGAAAGCTGTGTGGGCTTCAGGTCTGGCCTGGACATAGT